ACCCATATTGATCAGCCCAATCAAGTATAGGTTCCCACTTTCCGTTGTAGAATCTTTTTCCATTGTCTGTGGTAAACGAACAATGCATACCAGAAGACCCCAAACAAGAACATTCCACTCGTCTTCAAACTCATCATCTCCAAGTTCCGGGGATGCCAAAACTGAAAGAAAGGACTTTTATGACGAAATGTAGAGGTCTTAAACATGTTTCAAACTTTGATAATACTTTATTATGTCCACAAGCAAAGCGGGACTAACAGATAACTTCTAGATGCAGGCTCAAGAGCCGCGGACGGGTGAACACCGCCTAGTTTCCGCTTTAGCGATGAGCGCGGACCGTTGACGGCTTGTCGACGGACCGTTACTTCGCTGTGAATAGAGTCACAGTTTTTGAACTAAAAGTTGTTAGACATGAATCCATTAACCGCGAAGGAGAATTCGCATAGAAATTGTAAGCTCTTTTCTATCCGGATAGAAAATAATACCGTATATCCTTTAATAGAAGCCCACATCGCCACTTCTTGTTTTATATTTTATCGAAAAGGTCTTCCTTTTTAACTATGAGGTATTTGCTATTTTCAAGCTCTTTCTAAACTTTTCTGATTTTCCTAATGTCCATCTAATGTTTTTTCTGCTGTTGGTCTATTTGTCCCTCCACTTATTATCTGTATCCATAGTTTGTGGACAGATGATTCTATCTTCATCGTTATCAATTTATCGTTTTGGATGTGGTCGTAAATCAAAAGCGCATCGTTGTCAGTGTCATCTTTTCTATCTGCATTATCTTCCCCCCACTCCTTCTTTTTTCTTCTTCCCAGACTATCAACGCCTCAGATAGAATTTGTCCCAACCACGTGGGTGAATGCGTCGAACAGATCAAAATTCGGAATTTTAGAACATATCTCTCTTACCTACGAATCGTTTTTCCAAAAGTTGCTCAATGTGGTTTCTTATTATCAGAATATTGTTCTCTACAGCTGCCTCATCAGCAACGGTTTCTCGAGTTCTGGAAAGTTGTCCAAGCTGAAATTCAAATATTGAAAAGTATAAAAAAGAAATCTTCATAAGATACCAATTGATGGATTATCTTCTGATACTGTTCAGCGGTGGTAAACACAGATATTTGTTTCACAAGTTGGGACATTCTATCATAGCCTGAAAAAAAAGAATAACAAACTGATAAGAAAAAGAATGAAGTAATAGGAGCGGCAAAAACAAAATGGATGGGGATTAGATTTTGAGGAAAAAGTTTTTTTACGAAAACTATAGAACCTATATTGGGGCAGGAATTTTCGCTTAAAATTTGATTAACAAAGTGAAACTTCGTTTGGTTACTAAATAGTTCTTTCATTTGATGATGTAATGATAATAATTGGGAACAACTCCAAAAAC